AAACGGAGACGTAACAGTATGAAACAATTTTAAAATTACACACACACACACACACACACACACACACACACACACACACACATGTATGTATATATGAATTGTTATATTTTCATTTCTTGTAGAGAACAAGAAGAAGTGAACAGGATTTTGTAATATTTTGACACCTTGCAAATTTAAATACTCCTAAAGTTAATATAACCCCCTTTCTAAAAGGTGTAATGCGTCTGGGCTAGAGTAAAGCATGGACTCTGATTCTGTTGTAAGATGATTTATAAATCGTGTTGTAACGTGTGTGGGTTTTAGTTAAACATGGACTCATATTGTGTTGTTAACTGTTAATAAAATTCACGAAACATGGGGCTGCAATGTGTCTAGGTTGCATTAAATCATGAACTCGTATTCTGTATCTGGATGTTAATACAAGTAGAGAGACATGGTGTTATAAAATGCCTGGGTTTGCGATAATGCATGGGCTCGGATTCAGTTATGGGGTGTTCACACAAGTCGCGACAGTTGGTGTTTTAATACGTCTAGGTTGTAGTAAATCAGGGACAAGACTTTTGTTGGTTGTTACTACAAGTCTCGAAACATGTAACATTGATAGATTGGAGTAAATCGTATAGTCGGATTCAGTTATGGGGTGTTCATACAAGTCGCGACAGATGGTGTTGTAATAAGTCTAGGTTGTAGTAAATCAGGGACAAGACTTTTGTTGGTTGTTACTACAAGTCTCGAAACATGTTGTAACATTGATAGATTGGACTAAATCATATAGTCGGATGCTTTTGTTGGATTGTTGATAACATAAATCTCGAGACATGGTGTACTAACGGGTAAGAATTTTAATGAAGCATAGACTCCTATTCTTTTGTTGGATGTTAATACAAGTTGCTAGACGTTGTGTAACGTGTCGGGGTTCTAATAAAGCAATAGACTCCGATTATGTTGTTGGATGTTAAAACAACTTTCGGGACATGTTGTAGTAAAGACAGTATTCAGATTCTATTTTTGGATTTAAACAGAAGTCCGAGACACGATGTTGTAATGTGTTTGAGTTGGACTCCAATTTTGTTGTTCGATGTTAAAACTCGCTAGACGTGGTGCTGTAACATGTCTGGGTTGTAATAAAGCAATAGACTCCGATTGTGTTGTTGGATGTTTGTTTGTTTGTTATGGATTTCGTGCAAAGCTACACGAGGGCTATCTGCGCTAGCCGTCGGTA